AAGAAAATTAAAAAAAAAAGATCATCCTATGTGTATTCAAGCTTTTCAATTCTCGCAAAAAATGAAAGAATAGAACGAAGACGACTCAATATCCGAGAATCGCTATGCTTCGCCCACAACGCGCCCGGTAGCGAGCTAAAAGCGCTTCGAGCTCCTCATATATAATTGCTGCCGCAAATTAGTTTCTGCTACGGATCGGGGAAGAATCGGGGAACAAACGGTGAAGACTGGGAGAAGACAAACAACGTAGCTGTAGTTTAAAACTCATTTATTGAACATGACATAAAAATCACGATACATAATAATGATAAACTGAGGTCTATTGTAAGCGCGCGCGCGTGCGCGCTACGAAACTTTAGATATATTATCCATTTGTAATCCTTTTCAGTGTAATATCTCGCGCGTGTGTGTGTGTGAGTGTGTGTGTGTCGTATATATATGTGTGTGTGTGTAAACTCCTTATCAAACCCTAACAGATGATTACTTTATACATGTATGTATAATCGCATGGAATGTGCATCCACCGTCTCGCTTTTCCTCGCATCTATTTTCCACCAAAGTTCTCTTCGCCGATGAGCGATCTCAATGTGACCCACCTACGTTCTTGTTTTGCCCGTGTATCGATTATTCACCAACGCATCCCCTAAATTTCTACGTAATTCCGCGATAATTCCATGAATTCACCAAATACTCCAATAAATCCCACTTGCCGAAGTGACCCTTCCCCATCCTGATTCCATCTTTCCGTCTTAATCACAAGGATTAAATATTCCGTTAAACCGAAAGAAAAAACGCGTTAAATCCGAACGGAAAAAAGTGAACACGGAAAATTCTCACGGTCGATCGTGTCGGCAAGTCGAGCATCGCTGACATCCATGAGAAAGTCCTGCGAGGAAAAGCAAGCGGTACGGATTCTCCCAACAACGAAAGCCGCTATCCGTCAAGAAAATAAATATGTCAATGTAAACGCGAAAGATAGTGTGTACGTGGAGGGGAGAATAGATGAGGCGGCGTGATCTGACCACGCCGTCGCATGAAATGCAGGGTCCGATCGGGCCCCGCCGCCTATTCTACTTTTTATTTTTTTTTTTTGTCGCTTTATCATAATCGTGGGCTTTTGGCAGTGATATTCAATCGTCGTGAATGAGGAGAAAGTACTTGAGCAATCGGCGACGACGTTGGAACGGCGTTGGTTACCACGTCGAATTAACGGCAAGTACTACTTTTGCAAGTCGAATTTTATCTCTCAGAGTGCAAGCCGACTTTTTCGCTTGACAAAACTCTCGGCCGAGAGTATAAATCGAACGAAACAAAGGTTAACCGGATTTTATCCGCTTTCTGTACTAAAAGGAAACAAAAACGAACAAAAATAGGCGAACCGATAATTCTCCTGGCATCGCCGTGTCGCGTATTAACGGAAACATAAATTTCGATTTTCGCCGGCTATTTTAATGATTTATCGATCTTTGCTGAGAGTATGGGCGCATGTATGCACGATGCCGCATAAAGGAAAAAGAGAGAAAATGGGAAACCTCGTTTCCCGCTCTGTTTGAGCTCGCAAAAGTCTCGTCGCTTCTCCTCAAACACACGCTAAAAATCCGCTCAAAATGTCCCGAATGAGGTATAACAAATAACCATAAAACAGTAGTAGTAATACAAAAAATAGTCAAGTCGTCGCGCAATAAATAATATATACATATACATATACGCGCGCACACATATATACACATATATATTATTTATATGTATACATATATATCTGCATGTGTACAGCTTTTTGCAATCGCGTTGCGACCGTAGAATGAAAGTGGATCGAGAGATCGCAGGGTCAACCGGAAATATTCACCTTCTCGATGCGCGATATATTCCCGAGTGTGACGCAACACAGACATTTATAACAGAGAGGCTCGACAAATTTTATTCCGCATTTCATGAGCGCTCGTCAAGACGGAGCGAGGGAAAGTCCCAATCCACGTTTACTCCGCGGTCCGAGGCCGCCGTAATAAATAGATCGTATATTATCTCGTCAAATCTCTAAACTCTAATAACACCTTCTTCCTAGTCAGTACGAATCAACGGGCGAAACATCGAGACGCGTGCGAACAGATTCGACAGCGGGCGGTACACCCGAGGTCGACGTGGTCAACGAGAAAAAAGACTTACTGATCGGACGAAGAAAAAAAAGAAAAATACAAGCAAAACGAGAGAAGATGAACGAACACGACGGACAGTCCAAGTACCAAAAAGCTCTCAACCTATTCGTCTTTAACGGGAACTCACGCGCATTCAAAGCTTTCTGGAGGGAACGTAACATTGCGCAATCTACGGAACTGATTCGGGTCTCGCCTCGCGCCCCAATGTCTCGCCCAGCACCACGGCGAATCTCGCCCTATATCGATATTTTAACTTTTGTCTCCACCTGTTTCTTTTGTTTGTTTAAAGCAGTCTTACGTAAAGCGGCAACTTTTGGAAATTATTCGGTATACGCGTCTCCAAAATGATTCCCTCCGACTCAGCTTTTAGCCGCGCTAACCGCCGTGCGCAAGCACAATCCTCTTTCTCTCCTTCTCTCTTTCTCCCTCTCTCTCTCTCTCCACCTCTCTCTTGCTCTCTTCCTCTCTCTTTCTCTCTTCTCGTCATCTTTCCTTGCCATCTGCACCCGAAGAAATGCAGGTTGAGCTATGCAAATTTTCAAAATTTTCCGCGTGATGTCTACCGACTAAGCTTTCTCTTAGATCCGATGTAGAAATTCTCGAAAGCGCAAATCGACGAGTACTGGTCGTTCCTCTTAGATTGTAATGAGTCCGACAGAAGGGTGATTCTCATTCTCTCTCTCCGTCTCTCTCTCTCTCTCTCTCTCTCTCTCTCTCTCTCTCTCTCTCTCTCTC